TAAGCAGAGTCACTGACACTGTCATTCATTTGAAAATTAGGTTTGGCTCAGACAATTCGGAATTTGAATAATGAAGAATTCACTGTAGGATAAAAAAAAAAGTAATCTCATCAATAAAATGCCGTAATTGACACCTCTGTTAAGAGTCCCAGCCAAAAAATGAGCAAGTAGCCTGGGAGACAGAAATATTATTCAGTCATTTAAGGGAACTAATGGATGGTACCTGATGGGAAATTTTCTCCTGGGGCTTTATCTCTTCCATAAAGACTATCCATGTCCAACCTATGAATTAATTTTGGAAAAGAATAAAAAGAAAAAAAAAGAATAAAAGCTCTATTTCCAAGAATAGCTCTATCACCAAGAATAACAACAGATATGGTCATAATCCAAACTGTCAGATGGGTTGCTAAGATTTCTCCTGGCTCTGATAATAGCTTGAGTTCAAACAGAGATGTGTAATAATAGGATTCATAAAACTTCATACTGATATCAATAAGTAAAACTTGTAAAAAGCTGTTGTTGTTCAGTCATGTCTGACTCTTCATTACCCCATTGCCCACAACATGTGAAGGACCCCTCCACTATCTCTTGAAGTCTGTCCAAGTTCACGTTCGTTATTTCTATGACACTCTCTAGCCATCTCATCCTCTGCCGTCCCCTTTTCCTTTTGCCTCCGATATAGCTGATTTTCAGAGTCTTTTCCAATGAGAGTCTTCGCATTATGTGGCCAGAGTATTTAAGCTGCAGCTTCGGTATTTGATCTTTCCGGTGAATAGCCTGAATTAGTTTAAGTTTTGACTGATTTGACCAACTTGCTGTCCAGGGAACTTTTGCAAGTCTTCCCCAACACCACAATTAAGTGAAGCAGCACCAAAATATTTATAGCAGCAGTTTCTGTTTTAGCAAAGAACTGGAAACAAAGTAGTGCAAACTGCTTATTGCCCATGGATTAAGGAATGGCTTAGCATATGATGGTACACGAATGTGATGGGATAGTACTGTGCCATGAAAAACTAGCAAATACGATGAATAAAGAAAACCATGGAAAGACAAGCTGGTACAGAGTCAAGTAAGCGCCACCAAGAAAAGAGCCAGTGTTTGTAAGGGGAAAGAACGACCATCACGAAATGATCAGAAATGTCTGGGCGTGGTGAGAATCCCTGCTGCTGGAGGAGACTGAGGCTGATGGATTGCTTGAGTTTGGGAATTCCAAGCTACAGTGGGCTAAGCTGATTTTAGATGTCTGCAGGAAGTCTGTCACTTGTGAGCCCCCAGAAGTGGAAAGCCATCAGGCTGTGTAAGGAGGGGCGGAATGGCCCGGATTGGGGAGAAAAAGAAAAACAACAGAGCAGTTAACTTGCTTTGACAGATTCCATGTGAATCAGTGTTGAGATAAGACCCATGAACGGCCATTGCACTTCCAGCCTGGGTGAGGTAGGGAGACCTAGTTTCAAAACAGTAACAATAGGGGCAGCTAGGTGGTACAGTGGATAGAGTGCCAGCCCTGGATTCTGGAGGACCTGAGTTCAAATCCAACCTCAGACACTTAACACTTCATAAGCTGTGTGACCCCGGGCAAGTCACTTAACCCCATTGATTAGAAATCAAAAAAGTAACAATAATCATAATGGTTATTGCAACATTATGAACAAGAAAGAAGAGATATGAGAAGATAATTCCTTCTCTTTTGCAGATGTAGGGGGTAGGTTGGGGTAAAGGGATGTTTGGGTAGGGAACATTGCATATAATGCCTGGTTGTTGTTTTTTTAATTTATTGATCAGTTCTGATGAATTTTTGGTCTTATCTTCCTCTTTTCCTTTTTTTTTCTTTTTGGAAAAGTTATTTGTAACAAGGCAGCAAGGTAGCACAGTAGATAGAGCAAAGGATTTGGAGTCAGAAAGTACTACCTCAGACACTTACTATTTATGTTACCATCAAAAAGTCACTTAACTGTTTTGTGCCTCAGCTTCCTCATCTGTAAAATAGGGTCAATAATAGTCTTACCTCCCAGGGTTGTTATGAAAATCAAATGAGTTAATATGGAAAGCCCTTTGCAAACCTTAAAGTTCTATATAAAAGTTGGCAATACTAAGGGATGACTCTTGTTCTATGGGAGAGGTGGAGGGATACAAAAGAAATTTAGATGACATCAAAACTAAAGATATCAAAAAATTATATTCAAAGTTTTTAAATGTTAACATTTTCAAGATCTTCATAAAAAATGTATGCAGTTTGGGGTTTTGAAACTAACAAGGCATATAGTAAAAATGTCTTGTTTTTAGTGCCATTGCAAGGCAGTTGCCAGGACTGACATCAGTATCATTCTATGTGTTAGGGGGCAGCTAGGTGGCACAGTGGATGGAGCACCAGCCCTGAAGTCAGGAGGACCTGAGTTCAAATCTGACTTCGGACCAAACACTTGACACTTACTAGCTGTGTGACCCGGGGCAAGTCACTTAACCCCAATTGCCTTAAAAAAAAATTATTCTATGTGCCTTACTGTTGACTAAGTACTATGGCATCAGTTTCCTCATTTGCAAAAGGAGGGCGATAGTACCTGTGTCCCAGGGTTGTTTGAAAGGTAAAATGAGATATTGACGAATCTTAAAGTGCTACACATGTGATGGTGGTGGTGGTGGTGGTATAGAAACTTTGTCTCTTGTTTTCCTTTGTGAATTGAAATACGTTACCCATCAAGGTCACATTTTAATCTAGATACCTCTAAAATTCTAGGGTAACGGTTCCCTGACCAAAGAACTTTGGGCTGCAACTTCAGGTTGTTGACGCTATCCATCCTCTCAACCAGAACTAAGGTGGAATTTCATTCGAGACTTCCTTTATCACTACGTCTTCTCGTCCTTTGTTGTTGTTGAATTATTTCACTGTGTCCAACTCTTTGTGACCCCATTTTGAGTTTTTTTGGCAAAGATGCTGGAGTGGTTTATCATTTCCTTCTCCAGCTCATTTTACAGAGGAGGAAACAGAGGCAAATGGGGTGAAGTCCCAGGGTCACACAGCCAGTAAGTGGATTTGAACTCAAGTCTTTCTGATTCCAGGGCCAGCACTCCATCCATTGTGCCACCTACTGAAAACACTGAAAAACGTTTGTCAGCTTTTGTACTGAACATAGTTACAAAAGAACATAACATTCTGTGTGCATATTATCATCCCAGTAGAGCAGGGTGAAAACACTTTTAAAAAATCAAGGGCAAATCATATTTAGCCTTTGGAGGTTTTTGGCCATTAGATTGAAAACACAATTGTGTGTGGGTGGGCTCCTGTGCTTCATAGGGGGAAAATTCACAGCCTGGAACAGATTCAGTGGGAGACATATCCACAGAACAGCCACCTGTTAAGCATCAACCGTACTAATAGGAAATGATAGATTATCCACCAGATTCTAGGTGAAAGGTCAGATTGCTAGGGGGCATGGTTCCTCATGTTTTATTCTTCACTGGCTCTTTTCCTTTCTCTCCCCACCCACAGTCTTCACCTCAAGGACTTTCTTTCTGCCTCTCACAAATACACAAAAGTAAATCGCTAAATATTCATTGATGGATTTAGAAAAGCTTTGAGACAGTTGAAATTTCTGTTTCCCATTTGGAGAAAGGAAGATGATTAATCTCAGGGTTGTGGTCAGCCTTTTGAAAGATACTGAAAATACCACAAAGTTGCTTTTATTTTCTTTTCTCTTTCTCCTTCCTTCCCTTCTCTGCCCTCCCTCCCCTCTCCATTGCTTTCTTTTCTTTGCCTTCTCTCTTCCTTTCTTCCTTCCCCTGCCTTCCTTTTTTTAAATAGAAGAATAAGGTGAGAAATTGGAAGTTGATAAATGAAAAGCAGTCTTCTTTCTGTATGATATATACATATACATGTATTTGCTGTCAGATGGATAAAATCCTGTCAAGGTGGTTTGGATTAATTGAGAGCAGTATCTGAGTTAACCTGCAGGTTCATCCCAAACTCCAGTTCGTGCTCATAGGAATACCCACTTTTTAGGAGGCTTCAGTGTCTCCCTTTTAGGGGATAGTCAAGGCCGCAAATGCCCGGGCTATTCCCTCCAACATAATGTAGTGACCACCTTTGATTCAGAAAGCAGAATCTTAATTCCTAGTTATCCTGTGTCCTAATCTAAGGAATGAAGCATTGGGGGAAAACACACTAAGAGAGATTCATGATTTCAGATATAGTCTTTTCCATATATTCTACAATGTACATGCAAAAACTCACTTTATTTGGTGCTTATTGAGTTAAAAATTTTTTGAAGTGAAAAAAATTAAAATATTAACTTTTCTCTAAAATATTAACTATTCTCTAAAATATTAACTTTGTGCTCCAGCCCTCACCCATTTGGGCGTAATTCACTTTCTCAGGTCACTTCCTTTAGTACCGTAAGAACAAGATACTCAAAATGTTTTCACTTCAGTTTGTTCAGATGGAATTAAAATGCAAAGGTAAAATTCTCTTCCACTTGAACAGAGAGACACTCTATATGTCCCACTTGCTTCCTTATTAAATCATCGTTTAAGAAAAGTCCTACTGAGGGTTCATTAAAGAACCACAGAAGAACATTGTTGCCTCCTCTGGGGATTAAATACTGTGAAAAGGGTCGAGAGTTTCCCCCATTCCTTGCCCTGGGCTCACCCTCCTATGAACGATCTTCAAAAGTAGTTCATGAGAATGGTTGAAATAATCTGAATATTGGACCATACTCAAAGTATTTCCAGATTGTAAGGACCTGTCAACATTTGTGTTTTGCCTACAATAGTCTTGAAGGACTCAGGGTCACATTTCCCCTGATAAAGTATGAGAGAAGATTTTTTGTAGAGTATAGACTTTCAAAAAGATAAGTTAAAAAAGGTAAATTTTAAAGGTAAAGAAAAGCTACCTTTTAAATTCTTCTGCTGAGAAAAATTTGGCATAAAGTACATTTAATTAAATTTTAATTACTCGAATCATACAGAGGAAAGAATACTGGTTTCTGGAATCAGCACATCTGGGTTCCAGTACTGACTCTTCTATTTACTACATGTCTCCCAGCAGGCATGTCGCTGACATCTCAGTGCTTCAGTTTCTTCATCTGAAAATGAGATTGGTTTAGATGACTGTTCAGTTCCCTACCAGTTCTAATTCTGTGATCCCTTATCCTTGCATATTACCTTGGCTATATTCACCTTTTGTTAAATCACTGAAATGAAAATGGTTTGCATATTTCCATGATGGTATTTAAGATGCTACAGTGTCATTTCAAATTATCAAACCCTTAAGGAAAAAAAAAACTTAGTAGGAGAATGTATTTTGTTCAAACTCTTCTTTTGCTTAACTACAGAAGATTGAACCTGAACTTTTTAAAATAAGTTTATTTTTGGTGAAACAAGAGTAACAAAAGCCCCTTCTACTGCTTTTCCAAAAATTTTTTAAATTAAGAAAGTTTTCTTAGACAAGAAGTAAACATTGAAAAGCTCTGTTAAACCAGAAATGTATAGACTCTTTCTTTTGAAATACATGTGGCTTAATAATCAGTAGAAATGCTGCTTGCAAAGCATATTTAGGGTTTTACAAAATCCGAAGGAACTGCAAAAATAATCAGACACCTCATATGTTCAGGATGTTCCTGGGACACCCATGCCTTAGAGGCCAAAACAAAGTGAGTGTGTATAGCTGGACCAAACCAAAGGACTTTTTTTTTCCCCTTGTGCACTTAAACAGAAGAAAAATCTTTAGGATATATAATCCAAAGATCAGTGTCTATAAAGGAATAAATTCCATTAAAATGATCACAAGAAGACAAAAATAATGGTGACCAATTAGCAAGTCTTCTAAAGAAGATTTTCTGATCAAAAGCAATTTCTAAAGCTTAAAAAATAATATAAAGCCCTGTCATTATATAAGTCGAAACTAAATGTTCTTTTGACATAACTGTAAACCTAATAAAGAGAGTAGTCATGGTTTTTAAAAAATGTCATTAGAATACAGGTTTTGTGTCACGGACACCTTAGGCAGTCTGGTGAAACCTGGGGACCCTTTCTCAGAGTAATGTTTTTACAGTTTGGAACAATACCCAAACAGGTATAAAACTATGCATGCCCTTTTTATGCAGCAATACCACCTCTGGGTCTGTATCCCAAAGAGATTAAAGAAAAAGGAAAATGACCTATATCTACAAAAAAAATTGATATCAGCTGTTTTTGTGTTGGCAAAGAATTGGAAATTGAGGAGGCAGAACAAGTTATGGTTGTGATAAAATGCTATAAGAAATGATAAGCAGGATGGTTTTAGAAAAACATCTGAAGTCTTAGCATGAATTAATGCAAAGTAGAGTGAGTAGAACCAGGAGAACATTATACAGAGTAATAGCAATATTGTAAGAATGATCAAGTGTGAAAACTTAGCTACTCTGATCAAGACAGTGATCTAAGACAATTCCAAAGAACCCATGATGAAAAATGCTGTCCACCTCCAGAGGGAAAAATGATGAGCTCTAAGTGCAGATTGAAGTATATTTTTCTTTATTTTCTTTATTTTTCTTGTTGTTTTGTGTGTTTTCTTTTGCAATATGGCTAATATGAAAATATGTTTTGCATGACTTCACATGTATAATTGATACATTGCTTGCCTTCTGAAGGGTGGGAGAAGGGTGAGTGAGAGAGAGAGAATTTAGAACTCAGAATTTTTAAAACTAAATGTTTAAATTTTATTGAATATAATTGGGAAATATTTAACAAAATAAATTAAAAATAGATTTAAAAAGAATAATGTTTTAAATGCATCAAATAAAATACCAAATGTTACAAAGGAAGCCAATTACATTGAAGTAAATATGTTTTATTTTTCCTGTTCAAATTCACTGACCCCAGACATCTATCTACAGACCTTTTGGGAATTCATTGACCCCAGACTAAGAATCCCTGGATTTGACTGAAAACAGAAATATCAACATGACATAGTCTGGTATTTTTCTAATAACTGCTGAATATTAGCTGGTGAATGGACGTTAACTAGCACTACATTTCAGAGGTCCATTTTAACAAACTCAAAGACGTTAATTTGGAACCAGATCATCATAACATCCAGATAGATCACTATGCAAAGAATAACAACAGAAAATAGATTGAAGAATTCATTACACTTATTCCTCCTTTGGAGTAAATTTGCTTTTAGAGACTTTCAGAATTATACAATTATGGTTTATTGAGGTTTTCAAAACCTTAAATCTTGACAAGATGGCATTTTCAAACTGGAAATGTAATAGATATTGGCACCCACAGGCAACATGTAAAATTATAACCTGGCACTACTGTATTAGACAAAAATAGCCATACAGAAAAAGTGAGGTTTCTAAGAATCATTAGCAATATTTATGTCAGCGGAGAGAGATTCCAATGATCTTAGGAGGTGGAAGATTTGGAGACAGAAGATCCCAGAATTGTGGAAAATACTGAAAAGCTTGGAAAAACCTATAAAAACATTCTGACTATTATGGTGCACAACATGTCATGCATGCGTCTGGCTTCTGACTTAACCTTTCTTGCCAAGTTTTCAGTTCAGTTTTTTGGGAGACTTTTTTCCCCATGGGAATAGATCTATGATTGTATGATGGAAGTCAATGGGAATATCATTCATTTAATTAAATGTCGACTCTGTTCTATATGACACTTGGTGCTGAGTGAAATGCAAAAGAAATATGAGACATGTCCAATTCCAGTCCTCCATAAGCTTATAATCTGACTGGCAAAACTTACACATTTTAAATAATTAGGGAATAAGTCATAATATCAAGGGCTAAATTACACACTTGAGAGGAGATAAGTGCAATCACACTCCCAAGAATGGAGAAATCCTATTGAATAGCGTTTCTGTGTACTAAGTTCATCGTGGAAGTCTTCTTGGAGAAATTAATACTAGATCTATACCTTAAGGGAAAAGTGAGATTGGAAAAAGCAAAGAGGAAGGTTTGCTAAACACATAGGCTTAGGTTTGAAGAGTAGTTACAACCAATTGAACTGTAACAAACCTTTCCCATGAATTAAGAGATATGTGTCCCATTTCTGAATTCAGAATAACTGTGATCTAGAGTCATAGAATATTAGGTTTGGAAGGAACTTAAGCATCCAATTTTCAATCCAGTGAAAAGGCTGTGTTGTGTGATGGTTAGAGTACTTAAAAGCAGAAGAAACTAGGTTTCTGTCCCCACTCTTCCTAGCTCCCATTTATGTGCTCTCTGTCCCCATTAAAATATAAGCTTCTTGAGGTCAAGGATTTTCTTTCTTTTTTCTTGTTTTATATCCCCAGCACTTGGCACAGTGCCTTGCCCCCAGTAATCGCTTAAAAATACTTGTTAACTTATCTAGGTTTTAATCTTACCTTACTAGCAGTATGACCTCAGGTAAGTCACTTGACCTCTCTGTACTTCAATTTCCTTGTCTGTGACATGAGGCAGTTGGTCTTGATGAACTCTAAGGTCCTTTTGAGTTCTGATTCTGTGATCCTATAAAATGTTTGCATCTTCTGTATACAATTAAACTCATTGGGCATTTATTAAGTACTTACTATATATGAGACCCTGTGCTAGGTACCAGAGATACAAAGACAAAAATGAAGTAGTCCTGGCCCTCATTTCCTTAAGGGGGAAAAGAAAGTAGCACATACATAGAAGAAATATATATGTGTGTGTGTGTGTGTGTGTGTTGTGTGTGTGTGTGTGTGTGTGTGTGTGTGTGTGTATGTCAGTCATGAAAATTTAGGGAGAAGTACATGTCCAGGAGGACAGGATGTTCAACAGTGTCAATATGGCAGAAAAAACGAAGGAGAAAGGGCTATATAAAAGGGTAGCTTATAAAGCATTGGTCAGCTCAGAGAAAGCAATTTCATTTGAGTGAAGAAGTTGGGAGCCAGATTCCCAGGGATTGAGAAGTGAGTGTAAGGAGAGAAAATCGTGATAATTAACATAAATACCTTTTTTCTGATAGTCTTGCTTTGAAAAAGCAAAGGGGAAAGGAGATGTAAGTTTGAGAGGATGGTAGGATCCCATGCAGTTTTTTGTTTGTTTGTTTTTTAAGGATAAGGGAAGATCTGGCAACATTTGTAAGCCATTGGATAAGAAAAGATAGAAAATTAAGAATTGAGAAAGGATAGTTGAAGCCAAGCTCCCTGAACCCTCAGGCCATGTCATCAAGGAGAAGAATTGAATGGTTGGCATTTAGTCGGAGAAGGACCACTTCCTCCTCTTAAGGGATGATATTGAGTGAGGGATGCTATTGAGGTGATTTTGAGTGTACAGCTGGAGAAAACAGGGACCTCGTGACAGATGACCTCAGGGTTTGTTTTGTTTTTTTAGTGAAATATCTTTCAAGGTCTTTAAGGCAAGATTCTAAGTATAGAAATACAAATGAGGAAACCAAAGCCCAGTTGCCTAAGATCCATAAAAAAGTTAGCAGCAGCAGAGGGCAATATTCTTTATATCTTTCAGAGGTGAAATGGGTTAATAGCCAGCAACTATCTAATGCCCAGCAAATGTGTTTTGTACCAAATAGCTCCTCTGGCCACGTAGGGGTGAAGTAAATGTTAAAACAGCAGAAGTGTGATGGCCAGTACAGGTCATAGTAGCACTGTAACATGACTAGACAGAATCCAGGGTCAGACGGCTGGAAGGGGTTGGGGCTTCAGAGCAGCAATCCTGTGTGGGTCACAGCCGAAGGTCAAGGCCTGGCAAGGAGTAACGACAGTGCTCCAGAATCAGCAAAGTTTGCTGCAGAATGGAAAGGCTAACACCAGCAGGGCTGGTTGTCTCACAAAGAAGAGTCCCATGTGGGTTGTGGGCTTGCATCTGAATATTCATTCCCAATGCCCGCCTGCCAGGCCTGCAGAGGACACGTCCTTGTGTTAACCCTGACTTCACTGTGGTCCATCTGGACAGTTTCCAGAGGAAAATCAAGTGTACTAGTGGATCTCACTGCTGTATGAGGAAAGCTGGTAGCTTCACTGAAAACTTAAGCAAATCTCTTTTGAGGCAATAAGTTTTCTCTAACCAGAAGCAGTTGTCTCCATTCCCCCTCTGAAACTGTGCTATAAGGAAGCAATGCCTCATTAATATACTAGAGTTCTCTGAGGGGGTGAATAGATACTTGAACAAGAAGTAAAGTACCAGCTCTTCAGTGACAGATAGATACACTGGGTCAGTTTCCAACTCCCTACTCTGCCATCTGGTGACACTTTATTATAGTAAGGAGTCTTCTGTTCCAGAACATGATTAATTCTTTTTCTTCAGTTGTCAGGCTGGGAGAATAGGTGAGGATAAAATAACACTGAGCTGTAGAACAGGCAGGTCCCCAACCCCCAAAAGAAGTGGATCCTCAGTTGGCAATAATCTAGCTAGAGATTCACAAAATCTAAGAGTTGGAAAGGACCTTAGAAGCCAGCTGTTTCAGTCCCCTCTTTTTACAGATAAGGAAACTGAGGCATCAAGAGGTTAAGTGATTTGTAGTAAGGTAGTGACTGAGTCAGGATTTGAACGCAGGATCTCAGACTCTAAATCCAGCATTTTTTCCACTCTACCATGTGTGTTCCTCCCTGTTCTCTAGAGGTAGATATTGCATGTGAACAGCTAGGTATCGACAGCCACTATAACTGTTTGTAATTGAGTATAACTGCCCTTGAGAGTTACTTATTTATTTTCTCCTTTTATATATTGACTAGAAATCATTTGGGGGAGATCCCAAGAGGTATATCAGTTTTTTTAATTTTACTTACATTTTAAAAATATTACAGATATTTACAGATTACCCCCCACTCCACATGATGTCTCTTGAACTAAGTAAAACAATTAAGCAACTAACAATACTATGGCCTCATTTGAAAGGACATGCAATATTCCATATCTGTGGCACTATCCTATTTTAAAAAAAAAAAATTTAATGAACAAAAATCTATTTTTTCTTCCTTCCATGTCCTTGCTCTGTTGAGAAAAAAGAAAAGAAAAACAGATTTCTTTTAATAAATACGTGTAGTAAAGAAAAACAAATTCCCTCAATGGCTGTAACAAATAGCTATATGTCTCATTCTGCACCCTCAACCCATCACCTCTCTGTAATGGATAGCACGTTTCATCATCCGTCCTCTGGAATCATGGACGGTCTTTGAATTGATCAGATTCAGAGTTGTTTATCTTTACATTGCTGTTGCTGTTTTATTGTTGTTCTATTCATTTCATTCTTCATCAGTTTGTAAAAGTCTTCAAAAATGTTCATTCTTACAATATTGATATTATAATATAAATTGTCCTTCTGGTTCTGTCAACTTCACACTATCAATTCGTGTAAGTCTTTCCCTGTCTCTTTGAAATCATCTGTTTGCTCATTTCTTACTGCACAGTAGTATTCCATCATATTCATGCACCACAACTTATTTAGCTATTCCTCAGCTGATGGACATCCCTTAGGTTCCAGTTTTTTGCCATCAAGTAAAGTCTACTATAAAAGAAACTTTGTACACATTGGACCTTCTCCTATTTTATTGGTCTATTTGGGGTATAAACCTAGCAGCAGGATAACTAGATCAAAGCCAAAAACTACAACATACATACCAAAAAAGGGGAGCCTGACATGTTTCAGTAGTTTCAGCAAATGGAAGTTTGCTAGATCAGGGAAATCATAGGCCCTGTGCCTATCCATATCCTTTGTTTTACTTTGCGCCAAAATTTGGAAAGTATCTGTTAAAATTAGCCTGGCAAGATTTTTCTGTAAATCACATTAGCACTCCCATTTGCTGTTTGTTCCTGTAATATAGAAAAAAAAACATAGATGAAATGTTTTTCTACTTTGTCCCAATTAAAATGTAACAGGTATTTTAAACTGTCTTATGTGGTTATTTTGCTGCCGGCTTTGGTATTTGTGGTTGTGATTAATATTTTTAAATTATTCTATCGTTTTTAGTTTAGTATTAAAGGGCTATTGGAAAATTGACTAATTTTATTCTTTTCAAGTCAGTCAACAGGGTAGAAAATTGTCTGGCAGCTGCCACAGTCAGAACCTGGGCAAATTACTATGTCTGATCGTTTATTTTGAACTGTAGTGTTTATAGCTACAAGTAGAGCGGCAATTTGACCAAATTACTACACTTAATTCTTTAAAGTGGTTTATATTTTAAGGAAGGACATGGAACATTTTCTTCTCTATATATACACATGAAGCTTCACGGATTACGCAGCCTTTTCTGTGGAAGGAACGATTCAAAGCCTCTGTTTCTGTGGCTTAGCCTTTCTTAGACCAGCTCCCTCCTTTTCTAGATGCTAATTCTAAGATCATAGACGTAGGGTTAAAGACCATGTAGTTCAATTCCCCCATTTTACAGATGAGGAAAAACAGAGACTCGGAGCACTTAAATGAATGATTTGCCCAAGGTCCCATAGATTATAAATGTCCATGGTGGGATTTGAGTCCATGCCCTCTGACTCCACAGCCAGGGCTCCGTCCACTGTACCGCACTGCCCAGGAAAGGTGAAGTGACTTACCCAACTTAGTGGGGCAGGCTTTGGATGCAGATCCCTTCATTCTGAGCCCAGCACTCTCTCCACTGTCCTGTGCTGACTCCAAAAATGCAGTTCTATGCATTATCTCATTTTAGGTATATAGCGACTCTGTGAAGGTAGGCACTTGCTTGGTACCTCTCATGACATTCATAGCGTTCTTCCTTTTATTAGAATTATGCATGCATAGGTCTTGACCCACCTCACCTTCCCCTATTAGACTGTCAACTCCTTGACATGATATTATCTCCATTTTACGTATGTAAACTGAGGCTCAGAAAGTTTAAGGTGACTTACCCAATGATCACCCTAGTAAGTGTTAGAGGCAAAGTTTGAACCCAGGTGTCACCTGATGCCAAGTTCTGAGTTCTTTTCACCACACCACTGTCTCTATATAGTCCAACACAAACTGATTCAGATTTCATTCATTCGTTTAACAAATACTCTTTGATCATCTACTATGTTCTAGTCACTGTGGGGGATATAAGGATGAATAAAACATGGTCATGTCAAGGAGATGACAGCTTAATGGGGGGAGGGTCAAGACCTGTACACATAGAACTCTAATGAAAGGAAGAATGCCCAGATCATCAGGAGAGGTATCAAGCAAGTGTTGGGAGGAGTTCAGAAGAGATATTTTTCCAGAATGGAATAGCAGAGAACATACTGGAGGAGTGACTTATTTAAGCTGCACCTTGTAAAAGCTGGAAAACAAAGTTGGGGCCCAGTCATCGCTAGCTAAAGAGTATAGACTCACTTTGCTAATTATTCTGTCTTCATGTAGCTGCTGAAGTAATTTTCCAAATGCCCAGGTTTGATAGTGTCACTTCCTTGCTCAAATATCTTTAGTATTCTCCCTATTATCTATGAGATAAACTGTAAACTCTTTACTCTAGCATTCTTTCCCTAATTTAGCCTTTTAGATTTCATGTTCCTCCCCCTTGTGGATTCTAGAGTTCCATGGTGGGTTTTAAGTGGGTTCTAGAGTTCTGAGTTGGCTTCTAAGTGGGTTCTAGAATTCTAAGTTGGATTCTAAGTGGATTCCACAGTTTTAATTTGGATTCTTAGTGGAATCTGGAGTTCAAAGTTAGATTTCTGAGTTGGATTCTAAGGGGATCCTAGAATTCTAGGTTAGATTCTAAGTGGATTCTAGAGTTCTAGCTTAGATTGTAGAGTTCCAAGGCAGGTCCTAAGTGGATTCTAGAGGTCCGAGTTGGATTCTAAGTGTATCGTAGAATTCTAGGTTGGCTTCTAAGTGGATTCTAGAGTTCTAGCTTGGATTCTAGAGTTCCAAGGCAGGCCCTAAGTGGATTCTAGAGTTCTAAGTTGTGAGTTGGATTCTAAGGGATTCTAGAGTTCTAGGTTGGATTCTATGGTGGTAGGCAATATCATTTAGTAGAAAAAACACTGGATGAAGGAGGTCATAAATTCAAATCTTCCCTCTATTGTTTAGTTTGAACTAGTCACTTTATCTCTATGGGAATTCAGTTGAAAATAAGAATTTTTAGTGACTCAAACTAGTATGTTTTCAGATATTCTCTAGCAGTTGCTTGGCAGCCAGGGAATAGGGGTGGAGAATGCAAGTACAGACATACCTCAGAGATATTGCCGGTTCAGTTCCAGATCATAATTAAGTGAATATCATAATAAAATGAGCTACGTGAATTTTTTGGTTTCCCAGGGCATTTAAAAGTTATGTTTATGCTAGGCTGTAGTCTCTTAAGTATGAAATTGTATTATGTCTAAAAAAAATGTTATGAAGTTGGCTAGAAAAGAGAATTTCAGAGTTTGAAAGCTTGGTGGAGAGCATTTCTGGGCAGCAATGTGGTACAATATATGGCCATGATGGTAGGTGACACGTGGAGCACAGATGAAAGTCATTTGAATTTATGAGCATGAGGAACTTTGAGGTTGTGTGTTAAGTAATGAGTAGAGATGATATGAAATAAAGCATGTCAAAAGCGTTTTTAAATTGTGAAGTGCTACAACTGTGAGTCAGATGTTAAACTCCTTGAGGCCAATGGGGGAGTATTTGGAAGTCAGTAAATTAATCAAGCAAGAAGTATTTATTAAGCACTTACTATATGTCAGGCATTGTGCTGAGCTCCAGGGATATGAAGAAAAGCAAAAACACTGAAACAGTCCATTCTCCCAAGGAGCTTACGTAGGAAAAAGTGGCAATAAATGCATAGTGCAGACTTTGAAAGAGAGGAGGATAAATGGTGATGACAAAATGAGTATCTGTAAGGGGCTGCCTGTTCCTCTTTGCTCTAAGAATCAGTCGAGATGGAAGGAATATAGCCTCAAAAGGAGAGATTTTAAAAGGTTTTATTTGGTGGCTTTTATTTTTATAAGTCTTTTCTTAATATGCCATTCAGTCATTGAACTGTCCTTCATAACAAAGAAAAATGGTTGAGCAAAAGCAGTTGACTGAGCGACCGAATCTAATTCTGCAGCCGTACTCCCTCACCTCTATAAAAAGACAAAAGAAATATGTTTGATTCAACTCTCACGTGGACCAGGTTTGGTCTTTGTACTTTATCAGAGTTCAGCCACATTTTAGGAGTATTTTCATTTATATTACAGTAGTCATTTTGGGACAGCTAGGTGGTGCTGTGAATACAGTACTGGCCTTAGACACTTTCTAGCTGTGTGACCCTGGACAAGTCACTTCACCCTGTTTGCCTAAGTTTCCTCATCTGCAAAATGAGTTGGAGAAGGAAATGGCAAACTACTCTAGTATCTTTGCCAAGAAAATCCTAAATGGGCTCACAAAGAACAGGACATGACTGAAAAATGACCGAACAACAAATCATTATGGATATTGTTCTTCAGTTCTGCTTACTTTACTGTGTATTAATTATCACAAGTCTTTCCACTCTTCTCTAAATTCCTCAAATTTGTTATTTTTTTGTAGTGCAATAGTGCTTTAAAGTTATGTCACAGTTTGTTCTAATAGGTTATCAAATTTATTTTTAGTATTTTGTTACCATAAAAAGAGTACTGAATTGCCATTAGTTTCATATATGTGTAATCTTTTACCTCTTTGGACTATATGGCTAGTGAAAGGGTATGAACATTTTATTGATTTTTTTTTCCTTATATAATTCCAAGCAGCTTTTTTTTAAAAGGCCTTGCCAGTTCACTACTTGATCAATGTTATGTTCATGTGCCTGTCTTTCCATAGACTTTCCAGCACTTCTGTCATCTTTGCCAATTTGGTGGGTCTGAGGTGAAAGTTCAAAGGTTCTAATTTGGATTTCTTTTATTAGTGACTTGGAGCATTTTTTTCATATGATTGGTGATCGTTTATAGTTTCATATCATCTTTGGATGCATGTTGTGAATAATGGTTCTGGGTCTATATTTTTAATAATTCTGTATTCTTATTAGATATCTATTTTTTATCAGGCATTCGATGCAAAGATTTTAAGAGAAATGTTCTTATCAGGCAACAGCCAAACTTCTGTTAGGCAATAGGAAACACCTATTAGGCAATAGGAAATCCTATTGCCGAATATTCCATTGTAGAACTGGCAGAAAATACAGGGGAGTTTGGTCACAGAAAAAAAAAATATATATATAGCATATTATTGAGCAAAACTGACTGAAAACAGCACTTTAAGGTCCTTTTTTAAACTTTCATTTGAACCTTTATCTTCCTCATTCTGAAACAGATTGTCAGATAAAATTTTTAACATTTACATTCATTTTTGCATTCTTTTAAGATGATATATTTAGAAAACTTGATAGAAAAGTGAAGCCTAATAAATCCCTAAAATGCAGTTTCCCTCAAGGTCAATTTTCCTCATTTGGATTTCTGTGCCTTTGCATAATCTTGTTTAATTTTTTTCTTTCAAGATTTGCCCCATACTATTGACTAGTAGGTAGAAAATCTTGAAATATAAATGAGACCTGGGAATAAACAGGTCAGATTAAACTGGAAGTTGAAGGGACACGGCCAGAGGGCAGACTTCTACCTTCTTTGATATATCCATGGTTTGGCTCTGATTAAGACCAATAGTTATGAAAGTTATCCTCTGACACAGGAACTAGAAATAGAAAAGATGGAAGCACATATGATTTGTAATTTGTGGAACAGTTCACATTGTTTATTTAAAAAAAAAAGAGGCTTTCTAAATTGCCCTCAAATTGTCACACTTCCTTGAAAACTATGTGGTTCTAACAATGCCATGCTGCCATTTTTTCCACCTTCTCTGTGTGTGTGTGGAAGCTTTGACTTGCTCTGTT